ATTCGGCAGAGGAAATAATGTAACGACGGTTGACATTTATAAATTTCATTTTCTGCTGCAAATGACGTTTACGTTAAAGTAATCTCTCAAAATTCCACTTTTTATTTTGGATGAATGTTTTCATTTCCATGTTTTGAACAAAATTATCTCTAGAAGCAAAGTTATTTTACAAAAATTACATTACAATCATAACGAATAAAACGTAATTGGGGCTATTTACTAATTTTTTAATATTTTAATGATTATAAAATTAAAATTAACAATTTAAACAAATTTTTCAAGGTAATTATTCTTTGAAATTAATTACTTTTTAAAATATAAAAATTGAAAAAGTTAAAATTAAGTATAAAAATTAAAAGTAAACACTTTTAATCTGATTTAAATTTTAAAATTTACTTTGCAAACATCAATTGACAGAATGAAATATTTTTATTTACTTATTTTTCATTCAAATACAAAGAAATTGTATTTTCGAGCAAAAAAAGAAAATAACTGTTAAGAAATTTTTATTGGCTTTCACTAGTCCATTGATAATATTTTTTTTTTTACTTTAATTAGGAATATGATAACAACTCTAGCCCTTCGTACTCTGACAGGTTTTGGTGATCGATTTTGCAATCCTTTGAAGCAGAACAAGTGCATCTCTCGGGTTTTATTTTTATTGCTCTCTCCACATTTCCACCAGGCACCATTTAATTCCATCTCGATCGCTCGCTCTGTCTCGCTGCTTGTGCACATTTTTCTTCTTGCACCAGAGTGCAGCAATTCGAGTCCATTCTGCATTCATGGCTATTCAGCAATAGAATAGAGGAATTTTTATCCTACATCAATAATTCCCGTTGAGCACACAAAAATTTAATATCCACCGGCCTTACAAGTTGCAGCAATAAAAAATATTCCAAACTTTTAAAAATCTTTTTACATATTGGAAAATATTTCCATTTTGAAATAAAACCAAGCAAAACTTTTAATGAGGGAAAGTGAACCCTTTTAAACACAATTCCACAGTTGGTATTACAAAATTGGTTTAATTAAATTTTTAACCCTCTATTTTTATTTTTTGTTCAGTAATATTTAAATTACTGCAGAGGCAGTTTTGTAATCTGGTGTATTTTGAATAAATTGAAATCTTTTGAATTTGTATTCAGAAATATGATTTCTTTTCACAATTTCTATTTATCTTTATTCCATGTTGAAATTCTAACGATGCAGCCACTAGAGGCTTGAGGACCAAAACGTGGTTGCACGGCAATTTTTAATGCAAGCAGGATGGGTCGTCATTGAAATACATATATTTATGGCGAACGTGTTTCGCGGGCACCACAGAGATGTAGTCGAGGGTGCTCGAGACCGACGTGCACGTGACACAAAAGCAGCCGAGGAAATAAAGAGACCACTCGCTCGTCCTCTATCGCGCATAATAATTTATTCCGCTCTTCAACCTGGCTGCGCCCGAGTGGAAAAAAATATTAATAAATTTCCATTCCAATATAAATTGCGCACCCGTCTCCGCCACCGAAATGATCATTACGAGAGAGCAGAGATGGATAAAAACTCCACCTGTCCTCTTTCGAGAATATATTTTCCACTCGGTGAATAAAATCACTCGGATGTGCCATTCGCCGTCGTTATCGCAAACATCGCGATTTGCAGCTCTCTGAGAAGAAGGAAAAGAAAAAAAAATCGTGGAGAGGAAAATAACTTTTCACGTTAAGGCTCCTCTTTTCTTTCGGCACAGCTGCTTCCGTGCAAATCGACCCTTACTCCAGATTAAAGTTTAAGGAGATTTGTCCGTCTAATTTATTGTATCGCCCTTTTCTGACAACGCACGCCTCCCTTTTCACATCCAATCTCGTTAAATCCTCTCTCGATTTGATTTGAACCGCAAATATTTCTCGCGCTTTTGCTAAGTTAGGGGCAAAAAGAGATCGAAGTGCTCTTTGTGTTGATTGGAGAAACATTTGCTGATTAGATTCGCCTCCGTCTTGAAAGAGCGATGACTGCGAGTGAGAGAGAGTTTGCGTGCTAAATTTACGAGAATTGTCTGCAGACAAACTTGTTAGTGAGAGCAAATCTTGATAGTCGTCTTTAATGCGAATGTTTGCGCCGTAGAGAGCACGGATCGCAAATTGAATTGTTCCTTCTTTATTATGTTCAACTTTTCGGTCTCAACATCAGGATTTCGGAGCTTGGCGAGTAGCAAAAGAAATTGAATCTTGTCAATTGTCATCATTAAATGAGAAATAATAAAGTGGGAAACTAAATTTATAACTTTTATATCAAAATGCTAAATCTTCTTCTTGCAGACAAAAATTTGGTTTTGTTGTCTTTTTTTATTATTTTAAATTAGGAAATTAAAACCATAGAACATAAAAAACATTAATTTATTGTATTATTATTATTGATCTTTTTTCTTATTATACGTCATCACTACGATATGATGTATGAAACAAAATCATTTTCTTATACTTTGTTCCAATGTAAATAAAGCCATAAGCTTATTTTATTATTAAATGCAATTTGCAAAAAAAGTTACTTTAGCAAAATTGTAAAAATAATGATTTTATAGAAAATTCAGAAGATTAGTAATTTTCAAAGCATCCTAAAATAACTTAAATTCGCCTATTTCGTAAGTTTTTGAAGTTATCAAATATCGCGCTCACAAAAAAGAAGCAGAAAAAGGGTTAAGGAAAGATGTTTGCCCACCCCTGTTAAGATCAAATTTAATATTTTTTGCCACGGTTATATAAAAAATTATTAAAATACTTAAGCAACTAAGAGTTTCTAAGTGCTTCAAACTTTTTTTAACGACTATTCATAATAGTGAAGACGAAAATCTTATCAAAGTTCATATTTCATCATTCTCTACTTCTTTAAAAAAGCCCATCCAGTTCAATAGCATCTTCTTTGTAATTGAAGATCTGAAGCTCCACGTCGGCGGAGAAAATCTCATATCATCTATAATATATTTTTTATTTGACCTTTCCTCATATTATACCCATGTATTTCCTCCCTTTGGACGACAAAGTCTCCTCACATACACAACAAAAGTGGAATAGATCGGTAGGTCTGCGTTCGTTTCCTTCCAATTAAGTGTCCAAATCGGCCGAGATCCCGGCCACACATACGGACAATAGAAAAACCGGCGGCTCAGCGACAACAAAAGCCCCTTTGGAAGAAAAAAGAAAGGCGCCTCTCTAATAGGGGTTGCTCCTGATAGGATTTATTAAATTTCCTGCTTGCACACGAGCTTTGCGGTGCAGATAAAATCAGGTCAGACGAGGGAGAAACGCGAAATATTGCACTACTTGTATAATTAAATATTGATTTCTTTTTACCCAAGGACGTGAAAGTCGTTAGGTGCATCTCGTATTTCACTCCGATATTAAATTTTCCATCCTTTTGTCCCTCGAGAAAAAAAGGCAAGACCCGCTCATTATAGTTGTATGTACTATCAGAGGGATGATGATTATTCTCTGGAGGAGAGAGTGAATAGATGATGAAACTCGTCGTCTGTCATATTAAACTTTAGATGAATAAATAAATGCAACTCCGCGATCAATTTCTCGGAAAGACGAAACGCAGCTGCTGGTGCTCAGAGCAATCCTTCAAGAGGCTCCCCGTGGCGCTTCTTGCATAATTGCGGCCTTGAGCTCTCATGGAGCACTTCGGTTTTGTGCACCAGATGCTTGCACTTGACTCTGTGCACTTCAATTATTTGATTCAAATGCTCCAGTTGATTTAACTGCGAGATATTCCACCCCCTGCAATGAGGCAGAAGAGGTTAAAGTTTATCCAATTTCCATATTATATTATAAAATTATCATTGTTAGACTTATTTTTTTCTTAATTAAGAACTGGAAGTTAGGAACTCTGAATTTTTCCTTGCTGTTAAAATTTTTATTTATAAAAAAAGGTTTTCTACAACGAGGAAAAAATACAAGTTTTTTACTTCCATGATCATCTCGTCAAGTGTCAATTTTTTCAAAAACTAATTAAAAACTTTATTTTCAACAAAGTCAAAGTCCGATTTTAAAACATATTACGAGACTGTCGATTATTCCTAAAAAAATTGTAGTTTTTTCGACTCAAATTTTGGTTGTAAATTTAAATTTACTCCGAACTAAGTGGTTTTAAAGTGGGATAAATTTAAACCTGCTTTAATATTGATCAAAATTTCAATATTTCATACCTCCCTCTTGTGATTTCAAAAACCTGAAAATGGAGATTTCAAAAGTTTCCGTTTTTATTGCTTGCTCGAAACGTGACATGAGAAAAGTATATATGTAGATCAGAACTTAATGTTAATAGTACATAATTATTCTTTTTCTTGAGTCTCTTTTATCTTGAAAAGCAAACAATTTGAGTAAAGTCTTATATAAATGTATGATTTATTTCGAGTTGAAGTTACGCAAAAAATCAATTTTCAGTAGAATGACTAACAGAGTGAATTGAAAAGCGCGTTTATTTTCATGCCTGATTTTTATTTTTAAATGATTCAACATCAAAACCCCTATGATGGGCATGTGACCTGTAGATGGTCAACAATGCTAACATAAAATTAGCATTCAAAAATATAACTAGCATCCCTCTATAACATTTTTTTTTGTTTTTACAAAAAATTTAGTTAAAATATTGTATTATATTTAACTCTTTTTAGATTTCATTTGAAAATTTTAAATAATACAAATTGAACCCTTTGTGCTTTCAAAATAAGTGGACTCATTAAAACCACCGCACTGCCGCAGCCTTTCAATGTGTCTCATTTAAAAATTCCGTTTCACTTGTTCAAAGTAACGATACGTCGGCCTCAATTAATTAAATTAAAAATATTCGGCACGACCTGTGTGGTTATGAATATTTTATCGTTCGGTGTAAAAATGTGGCACCACTAATTGAATTTTTACATTAACGGCTTCTCACTTTGGAATTGGCAGGATGAAGAGACGGCGATATTTTTGACTTCGTTGACTGAAAAATTTGCTCTTTGTTTGTTGCAGAGCCGAGGCGAAATGAGGCCTCCTCTGGTCGGGCCTTACACCGTTTTGGCGCAGGACGCCAAGGGATGCTGCAGTCTGCACGCCCGGACGGCGGCGATAACCGCCGCTGTTTTTTCACTGGTAAGTACTTTAATTAAAATCTTTTATATAACAATAATTTTTTAACTTAAGTTTATTGTTAACTTGTTATAATATGTATAAAAACCTTAATATTTTATTTAATTTTTGGTAATTTTAAATATTTCATATAATTTAATTACTATTGTATAAAGTATTTCGTTTAAAATTTATGAAAACAAATATACAATGGAATGAATGGAAATAGATTTTGTAATTAGACTTAGTATTATATTTTGATATTTATAAATTTGGAACTTGGGAAGCTATTTATAAAAATTTTAAACATAGCAATATTGATCTCATGCAATGCAGATTAATATGTTTTAATTAATTCTTTATGAACATACATACATAATTGCATTCATCACGCTCTAATCATTTCTAATTTTAACTAAATTTTTCCACCACTTTAAGTAGTTACAAAACCAAAAACAGAACAGTTAAAACTAATTTAAATAATGATTGAATTTACTTTTTTATGTTCGATGATTCTTGAAATTTATTAATTAATATTTCCAGGAATCCCACCAGGTACTATACATTTAATTTAATTTAAATTAAATTATTTTAAAGAAAACGCGAACTTTTTGTGTGTTTCAGACTTTCCAAAACTTTACGTTTGTAGAATTTTCCTTTCCGTTTCTGACTAGGTTGTTCTGTTATACTTATTTACTTATTTAATTATAAAAAATTCAAAAAATATTAATTAATTCTCTTTATTAAATACCAACGGTATACAGACACATATATGAATATAAATTATTTATGCATACAATAATAACAAAAACTGAAGAGGTAGTAATTGCACTAAACTTTCATGGAAGCTGCATTAATTAGTGTTAAGTCACTCTTTTTACATTAAAATAGGTGATACATTCCAATTTGTTCACCACATTTTGTACATTTACAATTTTGCACAGTGGTAATCTTTATTTTCACATAACAAATGATGAAAACCAAGCATAGCTCGTAAAAAGGTGCCGATCTTTAAATTTAGTCTCTTTCCATTTATTTTCAGTCATTGCAGGAGTGTTATAAAATTGTGGGTCGATTTCTGCATTTGTATTCAAAAAATATCAAAATACATTTCTTCTGTTTTAATAAAAATAAACGGTACAAATTTGTTCAATTAGAGATATAATAACTAAGGAACCTAAGATCTTGAGACTTCATTTTAAAATATTAAGGCAAAAAATTTATTGATTTGGTCCCTCTCTTGCCAGGATGCTAATTTCGTCGCTCCTGACAAAGTTTCGCGAGGGTGGACAAACCTCCGATAGCAAACGTTGATTATTCATGAGGTGTCACCTGGAAAATGGTCGCGTCTCCGCTCCACTCTCAGTGACACTCGCAGAATCCTCTCACCGTCTGGTTCGTCTCTTGCTCAAAAGCTCCTCCAAATCCGCTATCTGCGTAATGGATTGTCCCTGTTGCGAATAAATTGCACGGCAAACTTGGCGGAGAACCGAATCAGAATCTCTTCTCACTCGCGAATGTACGCTTCGTCCTCCGGCTCGGATCAAGTTTGCCCGGGCAAATAACATTTGAATGCGAAATTAGAGAATCAACAAGTAGCAGTTCCACCACGCGAGCTACCCACTTTACGATGCAAAAATTTATGGACTGGCAGTGCAGTATGTACTGCATGACCTAATTACGCCTCCTCCACACGCTTTTCCAATTTACGATCGCTTGTGCAATAAACTTTTAAGTCCTCTATAATTAACATTAATAGCAACAGTAGTTAAGCGAGAAAGTCAGCGAGAATGGGCAGTCGACTCCAAATTAGGTAACGAATTGAGATGCAAATTGGAGTTAATTGTAAGTTTCTGTATTTAAAAAGAACAGATATATTTTTATCAGTTATTTAAATTTATCCAATTTTTAGTATTTAAAATAAATTTAGTCTCTTGTGAATTATTTAAAGGATAATAAAAAGTTCTGAAACGTTTGAAATTGAAAATAATAGCATTTTTTTCAGATTGGTTACATTTGTTAAAAAAAAATAGATTTTCCCAAAATTAACTCACAAAATGTGGTCGCTTTTCTCGTTTTAATCAAGAACGTCCAACACACACAAAGGTGGGCAGAAGCCATGAATAATTAGCAAGTCTTGGGCATCAATTTCCTGGTACGCACCGCATATCAAACTTTGTTAGCAACTCTCCAGGGCTGAATTTGTTTACAAATCTGGGCCCGTCGAGCTGGTCTCGGTGTGCCGGGCAGCGATTTGATTTCCTTTCCCGCCTTTGAAGTGGTCGGTCGGCCACCATTAATATTAACATCTTCCAATGGAGCCCAAACTCGGCACAAACATCGGCCACAGTCATGCCCTGCGAAAGCGAAGCGAGGCCCTTCACAAACTGAGACTTATAATCTCTTGCGACTAAATCCTCATCGCGTCTAATTAAGTTTGACCTTAAGAGCTACTTAATTCCACATTGTGTGAGATTATAATTGCGAAGCTGCTTTTACTCCAGACCGTCTTGGAAAAGCCTGTTTTTAGGAAAAATTGTATTGAAAAATAATTATTATTATTATACAATGTTGGTAGGTTTTCAATCAGCATTGTTTGGTTTTTGGTAGCTTCATAATATCTATTTATTTTCGAATGTTCTCTTATTCTATAAAGATTAAAACTACAATCAATCGTTGAAAAGATGAAAGTCTACAAATTCAAATTAATTACATTTTACAATATGTTATAATAATAGTCCAATAGTTTTTCCTCCTTACCTAATAAATATAATAAATTTATTATTTAAATATTATAATTTTATAATTATTTAATTTATTATTTGCAGTTTATAAAATAATAATTATTTAAATCAAAGCAAATTTTCTATAATTATTCATTACTCATTAGTAATTTTTATATGAATTTAAAATTTAGACTTATTTTCTACTTCCACTATATCTTGAGAATTGAGAATTGTTTCATGAATTGAAAATATAACTTGGTAAATATGAGGAATAATTGAATAATAAAATAAATAATGATAAAGACATGGAAAATTAAACACTAAATGTTAGTATTGTTTGATTATTTATGCAATTTTCGGTAAGACTTTATTTTGATATTCACTGAGTAATTGCCCAAACTTTATTGATTATTGTCTGAAATCGTGGGTTAACTAATCCTAAAAAAAATGGCATTTTCCCAAAAGGTTCTCTTTTGTAGTTGGAGAAATGACGTGGCATTAATTGGGCCTCTCGGCTAATGCACTTAGACCGATGAATTATTCAGGACGCGCGAATAATTAATCCGGGTGGCGCGCTCGCCAGAAAAAGGGTGCAACGATGGTGATTAAAAGCAGCCTCTTTTTGCCAGCAGCATTTGCACAAAGAGGCCGTTTCCGTCGGTGCTCTTGCATACTGATACCCGCGGGGAGAAATTAATGGACTTCATTTTTCTGCCTTGAATAAAATAATGTGGTGCCGCGTGTGTGAGTGTTAAAAAGGGCTTAATGAGAGCGAGTGGAGCAAAAGGGCCGGCAAACGTATCTTTTATTCCTACGTCCGAGAGGATAAAAAAATTGCTGCAATTTTCCTTCACTCATTAGTCTGCAGATTTTATTCTCATAATTTTATGATCTATCCAAGCCGTAAACAAGGAGACTTTCCAAAACGCTTTTTTAAACAAATCGAATATTCGCCTTTCACGCCACACTGATAAAAGATGTGAGGATGCTGGTGAACTGCGCGCAAACAGCCTCTGGGGGCCAAAGTTAATTTGGAAGCCTTGGCAAGTTCGTTTTGTGCAAAAATAACAAGCTTTCTCTCAGCTTGACAGCTGCTCACCACTCTCAGCTGCGGAAAACCAACTTTAATTGGACTCAAGTTAAGTCAAAATGACGCGTGAAATGCGCCATTTCCATTCTCGCCTACGCTTTTCTGGATGAATTTATGGTTTCAATTTAAGGCTTCGTTATTTCAGTGCTTGAAAAGTCACATAATTAACTCTACACACACAGTCTGACAATTATTGTATCTACAGGCTAATAGCTTAATATGAATTATTTTGTTCTTAGAATATAATTACAGTATTTAATTAAATTTGATTGAGTTATTACTTTTGTTTCAAAATTTCGATCTGGTTTTAATAATTTTTTGACATTCGCAATAGGCATTATTTGGTAAAAGCCAGATTTTTTAATAGATGTAAGAAAAATAAGCATTTCAATAATTAAAAAAGTCACTTTTATCAGGAAAACCCTCTATTACGCTTTTCCGCCAACAAATTTCCCAATTTTTTCGACCAGCGATTAACTTCATGTATATAGCCTTTAAGAAGTACTTCGATTTCTCAAGAGAAGAACAAGGTAATACTCAGAAATTCTCTTGAGACATATCCCCCCCCCCCCAGTGGCCTAGTATTTATTTTTCTTATTACATTGAATTGAACAACCTTGCCTCTGCACAAAAAAATGGTTGCCAACTTGATTCTCTCGGACGTGCAGCCGAGGTGTTGATTTATTCCGTCGCTCATTTCACGAAAACTTCAAGTTCCAAAGGCGAGATTCGTGTATTTATCAACGCAACCCTCGTGCCAGGGGTGCAAATAAAGCTAAGCAGTCGATTTTGAATTAAATTAGATTGCTCCCGCTGTTTCCACAAAAGAGGGCCAAAGAAAAACAGTCGCCGCACGCACGTGGAATTTCACGCGGCTTCACCTCTGCTTTCTGGTTCAGCAGAAAGCAATCACCAAGAAAAACTTTTATTTCATCCGTTGATCGAGGCTGATGTGTGAAAATAAAGTCAGGGAAATCCCTTTCACTGAATTTCAATCAGATAAATTTTTACTCAATCGTATTTGGAACTCATAAAAATTGATACAAAAAGAGAATTACAATTTTTTAGAGCTTGGGGTATTGCAAAAATGTGACTAAAATAACTTTCATTCGAAACAAGCAAACTTGTTATTAATTCACTTTTTTAAACTTGTCGGAAAGCAATTTATTTTTTACTCCTGAATTTAATGTTTCACCCCTAAAAAGGTAGATGTAAGAAAACAGCCCGTTGTGTTCCTCATTTTCCCAATGAAATTAAACAAATATTTGCTTTTTATTGTTTTCCTTGCAAAATCAATTTCGTCTGTATGTTTTCCGGGTGTTGTTTTTCTCACTTTGTCGTCGCCGAGTCCAATTCGACCTGCAGTCCCAAGGGGCCACAAAGGCTTGGAAGCCAACACTAAAATTAATTACGTTTCGCGGCTATAAACCCCTTAGCAAACAATAGAGGGCAATAATAATTCTTTGTCCTCGCTCGCATTAATTTGTGTCCGCCTACGACATTTAAACAGGTAAAATGTGGGCATTTTTCTGTACATTTTTCCGAAATATACATTTTCGGCGAACAAGTGCGCGAGTTCACGTGCTTTCCTTTCAACATCTAATAATGAAATGCTTTCAGATAACAAGTAGTATTTAATCAGAACTTTTTCTTGTTATTACCAGACGATTTTTGTGGCAGTTTTTTACTTTTTTTTTTCTTATAAATGTTAACTTATTAATAAATAATACAACATAATATTTTTATTCAAGTTACATAATCATGACATGTATTTAAAAAAATTTTTTAATACTATTTATTAATTTTTTTTTGCAAATATTGTATATATTAAATTTATTTATTTAAAAACATTATTTATTTTTGCAATAAATTTCAAAATTGTACAATAAACAATTCTTTAAAAGGAAATATAGGTAAATAAAAAAATGAAATATATTAATTAATGGTAATTCGCTGCGCAATCAATGTGTAAACATATTTGCAACACACAAAATGGTATGATTAACCTTTTCTTTGAATTTATTTCTTTAATAAATGATTATAATAAAAATTGGTCAAATCTCTTCCTAAATCAAATTTGAATAAAATTTACATTGAAAACGATTCTGAATCTCAAATTTCTCAAAATTCAAATCCTATAGTTAAATTTAATAATATAATTAAACCTGATAAAATTGCATCATGAAGTTTTTTTAGATCAATTTATCAACAAATTGATGCAAGCCTAATTTTTATTAAATGACAAATTCTTATTCTAATTAAAAAACTGTATAAGATTAATATTTTTCTGGACGCTTTTTGTGGAAACTGTTTTAGATTTCTAGGCTATTCTGGATTATCAGAATGCGAGCTTTAATAGCCACCCGTATTCTGGAATATATATAATTTTTTACAATTTAATGTTGAAATTTTAATCAATCTAAAGTTTATTATTATATGAAAAAAGTCACCGTGATTTTGCATTGCTTTTAATTTTAGGTAAGATTAAACAAAGGTGAATAAACAGAGATGCAGTTCATGGAATAGTTAATGAGCTCAAGTCTTGCAGGAAATATCAAGTTTCTCCAAAGCTTACAAGCGCTAAATGTAAGATAAGCCCTTTGAAAGTGGAAATTGAGAAACTTAAATTGCCGCATATAGAGAAGCTTGTCGTATGTGTAATTATTTGGAACAAAGACATCAACGAACGTAGGTGAACAAAGCTCGGAAATGTGTTTGCTGAGCGAGAAAACTTCAGCATGTACACGGCTCCAATATTTGTTTATCTTCCTCGGAACACACAATTCTTAATCCTTTCAAACTCGCATAAATTAATCTCTGTTCTGTTTTCCTCCTGGAATGGGAACGCGGCAAAGTTTGCCTTTCAGTCTTTCTTGAGCTTCGCCTCTCTTTTTCCCTGTCAAACGTCCAAGTAATAAAGTAGCGAAAAGAATTTGACGCATCCTAGGGGAGAAAAATTGCAAAAAGCAGAGGCGGCGGAGCGTGGGGAATGCCATCCTTTTTAGGCCTTCCGGGTCTCCACTTTTTTATATATATGGAGCTCCTCCTATTCCACCACGTTCTTTGATGACCGACATTCCTTTCTGTCTCGCTCGGCACCCAAACATTTTTACGCCTTTTCTTTGTGATCCTCTTTTTGATTCGCAAAAAAATTGAAAATGTTGCACATTCTGGCAATAAAACCCTCAGGAAGGCACCAAGTATTTAAAAAAAAAAAAATGGTGAAATTTCTGTTGATATGCAGTGAATTCAAGCAAACTTCATTTTAATATTTGCCCATTTTTATTTTATGAATTTTTAGTTCTAGTTTATATTAGTGCTTCAGAAGTTAAAATCTCAAATGATCTAAAGCTTAAATAGAAGTTTAATAAAATCAATGCAAATGAACCAGGAAAAAAAAGTATTTAAAAGTTATTATTTATTACAGAATTACAAATAATTAAAAATGGTTTAGAAATAATGTTTTTCTCAAAAGTCAAAAAACTTTTAAAAACATGTTGCAGTATTTTTCATTTAGTTATAAATATATTTTTATTAAATTGTTCATTTATTATCATATTAATATAATAAAAAAAAACATCAACTGGAAATAACTGGATTTTTCATGGCCATAAATTTGTATGTGGCATCAGGAATTGTATGAAAATCATATCTCAAAAGTTGAATTCAATGATTCTATTCTTAATGCTTCAAAATTATACAAAACCCCTAAATATTTTAATTGCCTGCTTTTCAAATTAACTAAACATAACTATTAAAGTTCTTCTTAATGATATTTATAAAATCCCCTCTTTTCTTCTTCTAACTTCAATTTTACAACTTGTTTTTAAAACATTGTTCACATTTTTTTTTATTCACATTTAAAACTTTGTCAGTATCCAAAATGGCAAAAGTTTTCTCATCTCGGCGAATTGCGTAATTCAGTTGTAAAATAAAATTTCATCTGCGACGCGTCGGCCATAAATCCAAGTCGCAATTGGAGCGCGACAAAATAAAAATTGCCGCGAGTAATTGCAGCCCGAAAATAAGAATGTCACGCGGGAAATTTACGGCCGCGCGTCATTTTGGCAAGAGCTTTTACATGATTAAAGTGGTAGAAAGTCGGAGCGGCAACCGCGACCAGCTTTTGAGAAATTGCTTTAACTGGGGACTCATTCTTTTGCGCTCGGCAAAAATTTCCTGGCCTCTTTTCATAACGCGCCTCGCGGGTTGCCGCCTGCCCGGGGGCATTTCCGTTGCTCTCCTTCCTCCATTACGAATATTGGGCTTGTTGCGCCAAATAATTTGTTTTGCCCCTTGTGGCGACGCAGCGTCTATTTTTGAACAATGCGCTGAAAATCATTTCCTGCGCTCTCGCCGTCGACGAGCAAAAAGCATTCTGCGCGTCGAAATGGCAGAGGCCAACCGGGTTTTGTACCTAAAACTTTGTGTGAATAACGATGAGCGAAATCCCCATAGTTTGCAAACAAGCTGTTTTTCAGACATCTAAATAATTCAGGTGGAGGAGATTTAATACCGCACGTTTTCTCTGTGAATGTTACAGTGAGTGTTTTCACGAAGCTTTGAAGTTTTTGGTGTTTGGAACAAAAATTTGAGCTTACACACAAACAAAATGAAAATATATGCACGGCCATGTCACGTTCGACACATCGGTTCAAGCACCAGATTTTTCAGAATTTCATTATAACATTAAACTTTTTCTGTTCCATTATTGTGTGAGACAAAAATTAAAAGTGATTAAAATGTTAATTAAATTTACTGTTTGTATAATTTTTTTTTTTTTATAAAGTATATTTATTTGAATAGAAAATGAAAACAAAATACGCATTAAAATTACTGTGAATTTTAATTTCACACGATTTGCATAGCGATTTGGAATTAATTAGCCGACAGTTTCTCTCTTCAAGTTTGTTTTGTTTGCGTTTTGTTGCGAATGAGAGGCGTTCGAGAGCGGCGCAATCAGCTTTTGCGATTTGCATGCAGCCGGCTCGCATTACACGCTGTAAACACAAAGGGGCGATATCTCTCGTGCAATGATTGCTTTACAGCGTGCAAAACTGGAGCAGACGTGTTTTATGCAAATCTAAATACGAGACGCCAACTTACTCGGTGGTGTGGCAAAGGAAAAGGCCGTGTGGTCTTCCTTCGCCCGTTTCCTCTCTCTGATGAGTGGTTGCAAAAACTAGAGTGGGTGACCATGTTTGTTTCAAACGGCGCAAAACATGCCGAGCTGCAGAACAAGAAGTTTCTCTCTCTTCTCTGCTCGCGACATTAATCCCGCATCGAAATAAACCCTAGCAGTTGCAGATTTGTAAACAGGCAAAATATATATTTCGCTGCGGGCAGAAAATCCATATATGTCAGTTTGCAAAGTCCGCAGGAATTATATATTCAACAAAAATTAAAAAAAAAAAACTTTTTTTACTCTTAATTATTAACAAAGTTAAATACATTTGTAAGCAGTAAATTATACATTAAATTCAATTCTTTGAAATCTATGAAAAATTTTAGAAATCTAAGGAGTCACAAATTTGAAAAAAATTATCTGAAGTAGTTTGAAAATTTAGTCTCATAAATTTTATATAATTTAGAACAATTACACAGCGCAAATGAGTATAAAAGGCTGATACAATTTGGATCATTCAAATTTGTATCTGCAAACACACAAATTGGAATACATGTGGCAATTTTGACTTGCCCCAGAATCCAATTAGTTTCCAGTTAGTCGGATACTGCTAATGAGCAGAGCGATATAGTCGACGCGGCGCCGCAAAAGTGTTATTAGATTATTATTAATTTGAACGTTAATTAGCTCGCAAATAGAGCGGCGGCGAGTTCAATAATTTTGCGTGTGGGGTTGAAAGACAAACGAGCCAATTATAAGCCTAATCACCTCATCTCTCTCGTTTGTTGCAGAGCATCTCCATACTTGTGGTGCTAATTTACAGCTGGCGGATCAGCGTGAACGAGGCCAAGTTCGCCGAGCTCGAGGACGTTTATTACGGTGAGTTGGAACAAAAAATAATAATAAAATTGGTGTGCGTTTAATAAACGTGTATCCGGAGAGTTTAACGGCGAGTTGGGATTATAAGCTAGTCCTATAAAGCGTACTCGGGAGAGCGCATTAATATCGTAGCTTTTGCCAGATGGTGCCTGCTATATTATAGAGCTTATTTGGGTTAAAAACTTGTGCCGAAATTTCTGTGAGTTTAAGAGGAGAACACAAATATGTTGATTTTTTTCAAAAGAATGAACTGTAAAAACTTTAAAATGTGAAATGTAACCTTTATTTTCAAACGTGAAGCAAGCAAAAAAATCCGTATTCAATTTTTTAAAGCATCACATGAACACTCACAATTGGAATTTCATGGCTAAATCAATATTTTTGTTACTAAATTTTTCCTCGGACACTAGTTTTTGTAGGTAAAAAATCTAAAGTCTTTAAGAAAATTTATGTTTAAAGTAAAAATTACATTTTAGCGACCTTTACCTTTGATTAAAACCAACAAACTCCATCTCACAGATAACAATTCCAATTTCCACTTCATATTTTAATAAAAGCTGCCCAAACACACATCAATTGCCATTGCAGAATAACAAATTATTGCATCATAATTATGCACTTTTATAAATTGTTGCAGTTTCTTTAAAAATTATGAATTTCTGACTATTGCAATCTTCTGATATGTGAATAATTTTTAGTGAGCTGTTGTTTGCCACGACTGAAATATTAAACTAGAATCAATAATATGAAATTTTTAAGGAAAATCGGAATCTTGCGCATTTTACTTGCAAAAATAGTCCTTAATATAGAATAAATGACATTATAAATTTCCATGATAAATGATCTAATGATTAAATTATTCAAAGGCTTATATTGTAACATTTTTACTGGAGTTTCAAAGCCAAAAAAATGTATTTTTAAATTTTCTTTAACTTTTCATCTTTCTTTTTGTTTATAACAACTATGAAAAAAAATGTGCAATGATATCATGACACGTGTTTATCTTTAATTAAAAAAATAATATTGCTTTGCGATGTAGCAAAATTGCAATATCATTGACGGTTTTTGTTTATCTAACTCGACTTTGATTTTTTGATCAATAATTTTCTCAACCAGCCTCAAATGATTTTTTTTTTGCTAGTGTGTATACAGCTTTGATAGTTGTTGCAATTTGTGTAAAGCCGCGCGAAAAAATAGAAGCTGCCAGCGGCGGCGTTTCTGGGTTTAATATTTTATTGGCCGGTTCTCTCTTGTGCGTGTGTGTGTGCTTGCCAAAGTAGACGAGGTCTTTGAGAGGAGCAATTGAAACATGGCCTAAACTAGAAGTCTTTCAATCCTTTCAGCGCTCTTGGCTTGAATACCGCGCTCGCTCACTCGCTCGCTCGCTCGCCTGAGTACACAAACGCGCTGCTCTGAATAAGCTGCTCTTCCTGCCGGGCCTGCGTTCGGCAAAAAAGGCAGTTTCGCCACACACACTTCCCTACACGCTGGCTTTTTCCAATTTGAATGCACAAAATATTCAATTTGGGCCTGTCAATTCTGCACGGACTCTATAATGGAAGGAAGAGGAAGTGGCAACTCTTTGAATAAGCCACTTTCCAAATATGCTCCTACATAAAAGTTGACATGTCGTTTATGTTCAGTTTGGAGATGCAACTAAAACGAGCACTAACGCATCACAGATCTACTACATTAGAGCTGTGGCTGCTCTAATTGTAAGGTAGAGTCGTTACAGTCCGATGACAATAAAGGTCAGCTTCGATTTTGGCGCTTTTCGCTTCTTTTTGTGGTTAGCTTTCTCCATTGTGCACCAAATTTCACGCACGCACTGAATTTTTTCCTCGTTGTCTCCGTTTGAGTTTGGCTACTTTTTTGCATTTTTGCAATCACAGAAAAAAAAAATAAGCTTTAAAAAATAATAAATAAAATAATATTTACTTTCATTTATGAATAAATAAACTAATTTTTTAAATATAAAATTTATAATTAAATATATTTTAGTTTAGCCATTTTTGTAATTTAACTTATGTTTTAATTGATATTGCTATGTATATAAATAGTTCAAAACAATTTTTTAAAGCAAACAAATTATGAATATATTAAATCCCTCTGCGTTATGATTCCTCATAATACAAAATTTAGTAAACACTTCTTAACATGGCATACATTACCAGGCTATATATTGTTTAAATTTATTAAATACAATTTCATTTCATACAACATTAAAATTGATTTGAATTTAGAACAAACACACCAAAATATAAATCTATTGCAATATAATGATTTATGAAGCTAATTTAAAATATTTTACCATTTAATTTCTTAACTATATCATTTGAAATATAAAAGTTTAGAAATATTTATAGAACGTGAAAAACTAAAAATATTCAAGAGGAGAAGTGAGTCTCCTGATTATAATATTTAATTAGATCAATGAACTATGCAGAACGCTACAAGGCTCAATTACAACATCTACATTTGTTATTGGAGGCGTTTAAATTTAGCAATGCGATTTGATATGAGAGGCGTCGCAATCAGTTCCATTCATCCACATCTTGAAATTGATTCGCGCTCTTATCGGGTGCACTGGATGGAATGAATTCGCTCACATTTGCGAGAACGTATCTTGAGATGTGCACATGCATGGGTGCCGTCGGCGCGCAAAACTCGTCGCGTTTCCTTTTTTTGTTATCTGCTCGCTTTCATGTGCGCCCCACATTCTGAGATGTGCAATTTGGTTTCGTCGTAAGATGCCTTCGTCCTTATGCACAGGGCACTTGCGGCCTCGTTATGTTGGGAAATATTGACGGGCCTCTCTTATCAGCGCTTTTCTCTCATATTTATTGCTCAATGAAAGCGCCGAGCGGCCCTCAGACGACTCCAGTTATGACCCGATTCCACTGACTTTGAACTGCAGCTTTTTTCTTACCGGCACCCCAATCGATGGCTGCCTTTCAGCAGCTGGGCTTGGGTACTTTTATTCAATGGAGTCTGGCAACTTCAATATTGAAAGGAGGCGGAATTGTATTTTTGTTTATAGTCGGCGTTCGTTTATCAAAGTAACCAAGGGAGAAATTGGTCGCAAGAAGATCCATTTTGATGTTTTTCTATAGAAAAAAGGTTTAAGCCAGTTCTTAATAAAGTGTATTATAAATATGGAAAATTAAAATCAGCAAAATAAATAAATTGTGAACAATCTCAAAATCAGAAAATTGTTTGAAAATTAAACTAATATATATCCAAAATACTGATTAAAGCACTAAATAAAGCGAAAAAAAATATTTTGATGAAATTATCGAATCAGTCATTTATAATCTCATTGGTTTGGAATCCATTTGAAGTATTAATTTTGGAGAAAAAATCAAATTGATTTCTCGCCAGAATAAGTTTTCATCTCTTTAATTTGTTGCCAATCATGCCAATAATTCATAATTTAGAAATATATGTGACAAACTTTTACAAAGCTTCACTGCACAAACTAATCACAGCAAAACAGCCAGAATTTTACAGTATATTATATTTAGCGGCAATAATGACAAACAATCATTTTTAATAACCGCAATATTTAATCTTCGAGTACATTATTAATTTGAAACAAAACTCTCTGTTAAAATTTAGAAAATAAACATCAATAATAACTAAAATCAATGTTACTTTCTAACCTTTTCATCTATGAATTTTTTAAAGAAAATACTTCAGAGCCGTCTCGGTGGCTCCAACTCGTCTGAGAAAATCATCAGCATGCGAAGAATTTTCGCTCTTGTCGGAAAAAAAGCAGACGCTCACGCTCCACCCTCTCGCGAAGTAATTTCGATAATTTCGGCCGGCAGGGCGGATATTCGCCCGTCTGTCTTTATTTCGCCAGCGAGGAATTCAATATTCTCGCTTTTGCAGACATTGCTCTCTCCATGTATAAAAGCCGTGGTATAAAAAACGAAACACTCACACAGTTTCCTGAGAGCACAGCTGGAATATTGGCAAACACTTTTGAAAGCATTCGAGTTGAAGAAGGAGCGGAATTATCGTCGTTCGCCGCCTCTTTAAAAGCGTCTCTTTTTGTTGCAGGTGTACAAATTGCCTACTTCGCTATTATTGGCACTCAGCTGTTTATGATGCTCCTCAGCGTCGTCCTGCTCGCTGGAGTGGTTAAGGTGAGTTATGGATTTTCAGCTCTTTCTTTGTTTATTTCAAGATCATAATAAGAATAATTTTGATAAACCAAATTGTCAATGAAAACTTTATTTTATGTTAAATATTTTTCAATGCGGGACTTTTTGATAATAAGTAAATTGAATGATTTTTTAGCCATTAATGATTTCAAACGACATATAAGTTAATTAAATATATTAATTTACATGGTAGCATTTCATAATGGGCTAAAAATTTAGATATTTAGAATCAATATAGACAGTAAAGATTAAAATTCATAAAACATAATTTCACATTGAAAATTTAAACCAACTTAAGGAGCAGCGTAAATCAAAACCTGAATTTACCCACGACGCAAAACAATAAATAAATTAATAAATTTTCACTTTTTTTAAACAAATAAATTTTTTATAACTTCCTTTTTATTGGGAACTTCATTCTTGTAAAATGGCTTAAAATAGTTAATAGTATTAACATTTTAAATTTTAAGTTGAAAAATCCAAAGTATTCGTCAGTTCAGCTGTTAAAATGCGAAATTCACAATGCACTCTCTCAGGCTGTTTTGTGAGTCCCGAGAGTGCCGCTCCGTAGTGTTGCGGTCCATAAGAGGGCACACATTGTATAATATTTGCGTGCCTTCCTATTCAGGCGAGGCTTTTGATTATCATTTCTTGCACTTTACGGCCGGTGCCGCCTATAAATACAGAGACCCCCGAGGTTTGTTTATTGATGGAATAGATTGAGCTTGCGTCGGTTCGGTGGACATAAAACGAGAGCAAGCGAACGAGACTTTGCTCTAATCCGCGTGTGTTTTTGTTTGCCCCAGAAAGTCAAACAAAAAGCAGTACCGCTCGTAAACTTTGTCACACACAATTCCGTGTGTTTTACAAGTTCAATAAAATCTCAAATTTCAAAGCTTGATAATCAACAATTTCAAAATTTGAGAACGTAAACACAATTATTAAGACAAGAAACAATAATAGTTAAAATCCACCATAAAATAGTATAATATATTTTCATAAAATAACATTATTATTTGTTTTAAATTTAATTGTAAATAAGTTATAGAAAAAAATTTAAACACTTATTTCCAGAAGGATTTTACAAATTTTTTAAATAAATTTTTAATAACAATTTAATTATTTTTAAATATTTAAATAATATTTTGATAGTAAATATTTATATTTTCAATGAATTTAGATTATTCTAGTTTTATATTTTTATACAATACACATAAAAATACATTTTATACTATTTTTAAGTACCTTTCAACTACACTACAAGTTTATGAATTGAAGTGATATGCTCACAATCGGATCATGTTATCTTTAATCTTTTGATTTGGTAGAATTTGCATTTATTAAAATAAACCCAAACAAATTATTAAAAAAAATATAAGAAATCAACCCAACTACAGCCCTGATTGATATGCAATACATAGCAAATATTTATGTTCATTTTACAATTTCGCGGCTTGATCCAATTAAATCTCACGCGGGAAAGCTTCAATTTAATACAAATTCAATCCCTTTACGCGCATACCACTGATTAGAATTCGAGTTATAGAGCATTCAAAATGTGGGTTGCGTCGATTGATAGCGTGCAGGCGCAAACCGAGCTCAAAATCCGCCGAACGTGTGAAACTCGCGCCGCCAAGCAATTAATTCTGACCGACGGCCACACACATATGAGCAGGGCAAAAACATACATACTTTGGAACACGCAAATCGCAGAGCGAGAGATGACGGCGCATGCAAATTACACCGATGAATATTTATGCCTTTCAAAAGCTCTGATTTGAATGACAATCGACGCCAAAATCAGAATTGGATTTTCGCTTTCTCGTCATAAATTTTTATCGTTTCCGGGCGATTGTGAAAGAATTAGCATTCAACTGACGAATTGCCTTTTCCTATCTGTCGATTTCTTTCTTTCGAAAGAAAAGGAGAAAATTCTCTCTCTATATTTTCCGAGCCGAGGGAAAGAAAGATAATGAAAACGAGTTGCAGCTGCGAGAAAGATTTAATTAAAATCGCCCAGAAGTTTTCTTTTCATCGACTCTTCTCACAAGAGAGAAGTCACACAATCACGGGATCAGCCGCTGCAATTATTTTTATCAAAGGAGCTCGGCTGCTCGTTACACTCCTCCTTTTGATGAGTTCATTCACTCCTTTGTCTTTGCCTCTGGAAATGATCCGAATTGCAAAGTTGCCAAATGTTTATTTCCAGACTAGTGAAAAAGTCTCATAAAAAAATACAACTTTTAGGCTCTAATTCAAAATAAATTCGTTTTCAAGTATACAAAATTTTATTTACCGGGAAATTTGAGATATTTTTTTGTCCTTCTTTGTGTCAACACTGATTTTTCAAATAAGAAACCATGTGTTTTTGATTTTTGAAATTAGATTATATCGCAAGGTTTAAACGCTGGAATTGAAATAATTTAAAAACAGTACATTAGTAAATATTCAAATTTTGCAGTCATGTTTAAAAGGAGTCTCAAAATATTTAATCACATGACGGTTTATCGTCTCAAATTTGTGATTCAGAATTTTTTATAGAGATCCGTTGTCTAGATAAAAAGAAATCAAAATATCTACTATTTTTCACTTGTCTCTACGGGAACAACTGTTCGGATTTGGGTTGAACGTTTTTTCCGTTGTGTTGTTGCAGGAAAAGGCCGGACTGGTGGCACCGTGGATTATGGGCTGCGTCGCTTTCTTGGCTCTCGAGGCGGTCGCCATGGTTTATTCAAATGTTCTGCGAGACCACGTAAACAGGGTGAGTACCCAATAGAGCTTATTTATTCATTTCCAGACCCTTTTTGCTCCATTAGACCAACAAGAAATCTCCGCAGTTACATGGAAATGGTTTTAGCTTTGGATTCACGGGTGCTTGTCCATTACGTAATTTCAGACAAAAACTCACTCCATAGCCTTGGGCGGGAGATTGAATAAAAAAATCTACTTAGGAGAAATGAATAATAATAAAATCTGGTCTTTCTGAAAAAAGTTCAGTAATTTACATTTTTTAGTTGTAAAATATTTACATTGAAATAAAAAGTAATATTATATTTTTAACAAAAACGCAATTAATACTGCTTTATTTATTAAATTAATTTTGGTTTATTAATTTTTTTTATGAATATTTTATTTGTTTGTTAGTATTATTTAAATTTTACTTATTTTTAATGGCAAGAATAAAATTGGTACATCGAAACTTTCTTCGTTGCAAAGTGTCATTAATTATTGTTTATCACAATAAATTTTAGTTAAAAACAGGAATATGAAATATGATAAAATAAATTTATTTAAATGTGATTTTGTATTATCTCTAATCTAAGTAAGCCTCTTTCTTGAACTCAAATCATCGCTAATCGTTTTCAAATGAATGAATAACCCACCATGGTGCCATTGGTGCCCAACAATAGCTGATTGATTGAGTGTTTGACGAGTTCTATTCTTTCATCCCTTTCTTCTTTTTCAGCAATTCGACGCCATCTGCAAGGCTGAGGTGGCTTTTTATTTGTGCAGAGCCGTTCTGAACGTGAGTAAAAGTTGGCGTTCGTTTGTCTTGCGTGTGAGATGCATGTCAAATAAGCTCACAGTAGTAAAATCTGTCCAAGCCAGACGGAGCCTTTTTCCTCCTCGTTTTTTATTTCGTTTTCTTTCCCTAAGAGCGAATTCCATTGAAGCTTCAGTCACTATTGTTAGCGTGGAATGCGACCACGTTTTTTTTTTCATCTGTCTGGCGTTCGAGTAAAAAGCTTCTTATTTGAAAGTCGATGGAAGTCTTTTTCTTTCGCCAACGGCCGGCTTACATGAACTACTAACGGAGGCAGGTTATTTAAGTTGAGCTTTTGTTATCTTGGCCGTACACAAAACAATAGAAAGGTCAATAGTTGCCTTGTAGTTATTTCGCCAGACTGCTCCTGTTTACCCACTATTTTCATGTCTCGTCGGCTCTACAAACTATTAAGTTATAAGTAGACCGTTGAAAAAGTTCCCTCTTTTTTTTTAATTAAACGGTGAAATATTTTCCTCAAAATTAATAGGAAAATTCTTATATAAATGAAATTTTTCAATAGAAATGTTAATATGCACAAATGTCAATGATATAATCTATAAATTTATAAATAAGGCTTAAAAAAAGGTGCAAAAAAACTTTTTTGGGCAAGTAAGAACGTCTTTGACTTCACTGCCTACACATATTTTGAATCAGAAATATCAGAATGACTCAATTCGAAAAAGTCCATTAGTTTAACTAATATGGAGAAGATTAAAAATAATTCACGTGAACTGCTGTGAAATTAATTTTTTTTTAAGATATTCAAACGCAACTAGATATAAGAAGCGCAAGCTGCACATTAAAAAAAAATCTGGTTTCTATTTTTAATTCAAAATTTTCCCTGTGGTGTTCGGATCGAATAAGCAATTTTTTTTTTTTTTTTTTTTTTTAATTTCAGCAATGTTATATACGATTTAGAGACATAAAAAGGAAAACTGTTTTAAGCTGAACATAAATACTAAGGTTGAACGTTGAAAACTCAAATAAATACTTCAAATTCTTTATTCATGTTGACTGAATTTTTTTAAATAATTTGTTAAAAAAAAATTTACGTTTCCTTCATTCTAACTTTTGTGAAAATCTTTGCCCTGAACCTTTTGTGCGGTATTGCGCACTTATATATTGTTTTTTTTTTTTTTTTTTTATTGAGTCACGCCACCGGTCAAGGCACTCTTTGTTTCACGATGTATCTTTTATAGGAACATAAAACGAGTGTTGCTTTTGTTGGCAGGTGGTTGCCCTGAGTGGGGTGATGCGGTTTTACCATCTTCTCAAGGCGGGCATCACGTGGAAAGGGCCCGAGTCCATCGAGCTCTGAGGCCGGCGGCGCGGAAGTTGCGGAAGTGACTCCTCGCTCCTCTCTTCCACCAGCCACTCCTCGGGCCCTCAACCCGTCTAATTATCAAAGTTAAGTGTAAACGTACTTGTCGAGTACGCATACCTACCACGGTGCACCACTCGCGCACACAATGGAGTGCCACAGGGACACTTTCTTGCCCGAGAGAGAAAGAGTGAGACGGACACGGGTGCACTACATATCGATGTTCCTAAATGTTCACCAAGCAGAGTGGGCAACTGAGAGTGCATGAGAGTGTCTCTATTATTCGTTCATTTTTAATGAACAAAATTAAAAAAATCTTTGGTAATTAATGATTTTTTTACATAATAAAGCAAGATGTAGTTTTATGAAAGTGAAAAATGCAAAGCTAAAATGAAAAATTTCAAGTCTGATTTGTTTAAAGAGCCGTTACAGTAAAGATTTGCTTGTTTTGAATTTAAAGGAATTTTAATTTCATGACTGATTATCTAAATCTCAATAAAGAAATTTGCACACCTGAAAGCTTCGACGGAATTTAATCAATTTTTTTTCGAACCAAAAGTTTTAATTTTGCTTATATTTGTTGAATTTCCAGACGGAAAAGAGGTTAAAATGATTGGAGTGCGAATATTTTGATTGAGATATAGATTTTATGAGTCAAGAATAAAAATTGTTAGTGAAAAGGCGATAAATTATTGAGAATTTGTTTGAAATTCATGACCGTTGTATGACGCACACAAAAATTGAAACTTTTAATGTAGACTGCCGAGAAATAATAATCTTTTAATGTGAGAAATTGCAAATAAAGGCAAAATTTAGTGTCCAAAACAAAAACATCCATTATGCAAGAGAGGGTGTAATTGGAAAAGAGGTATTTTGTCAAGTGAGAATGTATGAAGTGTGAATCTCTATTTTGAGGCCCTAATTTTGTAACGGGCAAAAACTGTGGTCGATTTAGATTAAGTAAAAATTTAATTATAACCACAAAATATACACAAAAATTTTCAATGTAAGAGAAACAACTTCAGTGTGAGTAAAAGAATAAAAATAAAAAAATTACTGAAAAACGGTTATCCTTGGAGTTTTTTTTTTATCGATAGGAAAGTTATTTTTATATATCGATTAGGAAGCGCGTCTTGTGAGTGAGAAAAGAAAAGAAAAGTTTTTGCCAACTTTCCTCGCACATCAGGATTCTGTACAAACAAGATAATCAAAATCTATAGTTTTTCGCACTGAAGGCGACTGAGCGAAGAGAAGCTTCAAATAAATGAAGCACACAGCCCATTACCAACAGCAATTGGAAAGAGAAGCTCTCTCGTTTGAAGATAAAAGCCCTTTAAGCAGGATGTATGACAAAGTTCTTGGCAAAGTTTTTTGTTTGGCGAAAATATATATATATTCCTTTTATACTGGCAGTGATAGGAAGCGAAGGTAATTTCTTCCGATTGCTTCCGCTATTGGGCTAATTCCGAAAATCTCGCTATAGTAGATACTTTTTTAAGGCAGGGGCCTTTTAATAAACAATGTAGTATGATATTGGTTTTTTTTATTGTCCAATTAATCTTCATTATTTAAACAAAATATTATATAAATTAAATTAAATTCATTTATTTTTATTTTTTTACTTACTTAGAAATTTTTTTATGAAAGGTTAATTCAATGATATGTTTCAATTATACAATTTAACAAAAGCTATCATATTTGGAAGCTTTTATATGTATTTATATTAAATTTCATGTCTTATAGGCCTGTCCAGATGTCAGCATTATTTTCTTTCTGTACCAAAAAATATATAGGAAAAAAAATTAATAATGGTTCACGAGATGATTCAGCTAACAATCTGGTAAAAATAATTTTTAATGTTTCATGGCTGGGATTTGGATTGTTTGGTGTTAATCTAAGTATTATCCACTTGCCAAATTTACATTACTGGAATTGGCTCACATCTCATCTTGCAATTATTCAGCTTATAAGGCTTGTACTCACTCGGAAAATTTTTGATGAATCACGGCTGATTGTCCTCTTGAGATTCATCCGGCGTCGCTTTTCCTCCACTGCACGCAATTACAGCTCCATCAACTTGTTACTCAGCAATCAGCATCGATCCGGCGCGTCCTGCAAACGCACACATTTTCAAATTACTCCTGGGACGTGCGACTGCGAATAAAGATATATCCACATGAAATAACGCACCATCGGACCAACGAGAAAATATGCAGGACTGTGGGATAAATTGGCTCAGTTCGGTGTTGTACTTGCGCCCCCTGAGGCTGGACCGTAATGGTGAAGCCGCAAGGACTGTCATTTGGGATAATGACACTCTCTCGGCCCACAGAGCATTTGAAATGAGAGGAAAATTTTAGCTCCAGATTTTGGCCCACTCCAGGCTAATGACTGTGCTTTTAATCCTGCTCTGCTTTTGTTACTGAGCAGCCACGTATGGCCAAGAGTTTCAATGCTCCTGTTTTCTTTAACCATCAATTTGTCATAACGTTTTAAAAACAATTCGTAGCTGATAAAAATTGAGAAAATCGCAAATCATAGTTAATAAGAAATACTATAAACTTCAATAATCTTGACGATGTAATTAAATTATAGCAAGAATCTGAAAAAAAATCAACTATTTAAATTGAAAAATTCAAGATTCGCAAATCCAGAGATTGAGATTAGGCATGTCTCAAGTTTTACTGATGTTTATAAATTAGACAAAAAATGACCATGAACTAAACAACAAATAATCTGCAGCACGCGTGCTAAACGTATCCTTACATTTTTTATTCAACAAGAGCAAATCTAATCATAGATTAGTGCTGTATTACAGGGTTAAGTAAAAAATCTGAGGAAATAAAAGGTTGGAAATTTTCAGACCTCTATGGTAATTCATCAACACGGAATACAATCATTTGTTATGATTTTCTTTTTTAATTAAATTTTTTCCAAGGAAAATTGTGAATGAAAATGACGTTGGAAATTGTGTTTATTGATCTATATCACAAAGGGCAATTTCTGCCCATAAAAGAATACATCATTTATACATCCAAAAATATAGCAAAACTTTTGATATCAAAATAATGGATTTTGATTTGAACATCCCTGTAATCTCATTATTAAAGCCGTTGTTCAAAATTAACAGTTCACCTAATAAGTTCAATGGGGGCTTAACTTCGGCTTTACTGTCGAGTGCTTTGGTGAAATGTTTTCACTCCCTGTGTATGACATTAAATGGAAAAGCTCGCAGCCCATCACATAGAGTGTAATGATCCTGACGGGGTTAAATCGCAGAGGGATTAATTAATTAGAACGTATGTGTGCACACCGCATTGCAAATGAGTGCCAAACCATATCAGAGAGTGCATTAAAACGGCCAGAGAATGACGAGACGGGAAAAGTGCAAAATTTCCACATAGATATTTTAAAGTGCGTCTAAATTCTACATCAATTGTTCGCACTCAGGCACGCAATTTGCGGATTCTCTATTCGCACAACCGCACAATTCCTGTAATTCCCTCTCGGTGTTTGCAGAGCAAATAATTTTCAATTTGCGTTTCCTCTCCATCTATATCAAGCTCGCTCCTGGAATAAATTCCGACGCGCGCGCTTGAGAGAGAGAGAGAGAGTGTCATTTTAATTTGTTTGCGAATGCGATGCAAAGGGAACACATTAGCGCGCAAAATGAGAAAATGGTGCCTCGTTTGTTTGTTTGTCTGCGCACGCTTTGCTGTCACGCTTCAGCAATCACTTTTAAAATTTGCACAAAAGCTGTGCGAATTTTCCCTTCCGTTGACTTCACTCTTTGCAAAATATCGGATGAAAGTGAAATAACTCCTCCTTTATTATTTCTCTCTCAAAGTAATCTTCAAAACCTTCTTAAAAATGAGAAAATTATTTAAGCTTGGATTTTTAAAATACAAAACGTAAATTTAAAAAGAAAAAATTAGTACGAATATGAATTTATTTCAAAATAAGGCAATTTGTTACCAAGGAAAGGGTGTATGTGAAAATATGAGAGATGCCAACATCAAAAGTAACAAATGACAATGTTTTTCTGTGTGCTGGAGAATGGTGGTATCTTTAAGGAGGAGGCGCGAGCAAAAAATTGGATGCAAAAGTTTACGCAAGACAATGAAAAATAACGATGTTTACCAAATGGCTTTCTCATGATGACACACTGCTCTGCGTTTCCTCTTTTCTGCTTTTCTTGGTTCCTCGTACGTTCCAAGAAAACTAATTTGAAAAAGCAATATTTAGTTAGCGAGATTTGTATAAATTGAATCCAGTATCCGCGAATATAATCTTACAGGTTGCAGAAAATACATTATAGTTGGCGATTCTGTTGTGTAGAGGAAAAAAGGAATTAGGTAAGTCTCGAAAATGTGAATTTTTGTATATAATTGTCTCAACCTTTTATAGTTTGTATAATTACATTAATATCGTGCCAGGAAATAAAAAAATAAATAATATTCCGAAAATCAAATAAATGTTTCCAACAATCTGTATGTAAACAATGTGATGCAACAATTTGGACAAATAAACAACAATAATAATAAAAAAAATTGCGTTTTGGGAAAATTATATAAATCGTACAATAACAAGCCGAATCCCTAAAAAAAAAAAAAAAAAAAACATTAAATTTCTAAGATTATATTGAATATATTACATATTTATTATGTATAGTGCTATTTTGTTGTTCATGTATTCAATAATTATTGAACAAAAATAATAAATTACTGATATTTTATTTTTTTATTTTTCTTTATTAAGTATTTATTTTTTTAAATTTATTTTTTCCTTTTGTTTAAATTTATTTCAAAAATTAAATAACGTAATAACGTCACATATATCATTGTATATTACCACTTATAAATAATTTAAATCTCCCACTGAGCAGACAACTTCATTAAAGAATACACTTTTAATGAATGACAAAAAACTGATGAATATTTAGATGCAAATTAATTTCGTCATTCTTTTGATTGAAATTTTTCGGCGGCTTGTGTGTCGACGCGCGTTGTCAAGGGGCTGACGTAGAAAAAGCAATTTTATTTCACCTCTCAACAGAGCTCTAGGGAGGATTTTAATTTCGGCACCCTTATTTGATTTTCCTACGTACAACCTGCGCTACATCGAGTGCAATAAGCAATCCGGCGCAATTACCGTAATTGTCTCTCCGGAGTGGCAGCAGCTCTAATTTAAAAAGTTTCGCTCTCCGGCGATGTTGCGGCAACTAATTGCAAGCCGTGACACTTTGACAGCAGCAACTAGCCTGTCTGCCACGGAGGCATTATGCAAATTAATTGTTAATTCCCGTCTTCCGTTTTATTGTTCTCTCAGGCTTACTTAGTGTGGTCTGAGATTATTAGGCGCATTCCGTGCAACTCGGTCGCTGCCGAGAATTTCTTTGATGCCAAATTAAGGCCTTCTCACAGAAGCAAAGCAATTAAGGCGTGCAATCGAAATGCCTGGTTTACTTTCGTGTATAAGGACGACGCTTGTTTTATCGCCTCAGGATCGATCTCTTTGAAGTTCACACTCTGCTCTCCTAAAGTGATATTGCGTGGACTTAAAAGACTCGACTGCGATTGAGTGTGACAAAAGGAATGCAAAGAACACAGATTTTATAGAAAATTTAGTTGAACATTTGTATTTCTAATTACATTAAAATTACAAAATAAGAACTAAAATTTAGTCTTTTACGGTAACAATTTGAATACTGAATTATTGAAATAAACCTATAACAGTGAAAGTAGAAAATATAATCTTAAAAAGTAGTTTCTTTAACCTCTTCAATTTTTTTCATACTTTACAGACTCTCACAAAATTATTAAATATTATCCAGAGCAAAACAGCCTTCTTTTAAACCATACTTTTCCTTAAACTCAATCTGTAATATAATCTAATAAATTTGGAAAATGATGAATAAAAACATCAGCAACATCACTCTTATTTTGATCAACCCTTTAGTGAGCATAAAACACGAGAGATTTTGTTTTCGATGATTTTTGCTCGTATACCGCAACATTTTTGATTTTACAAGCGATAAAC